CTCCTTCACAAATGCTGCCAGACCTGCTGAGCTTTTCCAGCAATTTCTGTTTTGTTTCCTGATTTGCAGCATTTGCAGTTCTTTCATTTTTATTGAATCATAGCACTAGTTGTGATGATATCAGTAGAATCTGTAGACTCAGTCTACAGTATTACAACTATAGGTGTGATCATAGCTAAGATAGTTGCACATGACCATTCACACTAGTAAATGAATCATATGGATCCACAATGGTTATGAATAGGACTAGGGTGTGAATTGCACTTCATCTCACTGGATATAAATAAGACCAGTGTAACCAGGGAATGAGTTGTCATGAGTTACTAGATAAAAGGCTGACAGAGGTTGAATCACGCTGGATGCAAGTGTGAATGAAGCTTGGAGGCTATGAGCACTTTCATATTTAGTGCATTGATTAAATTAGGTTTGATCCGGGGACCGTCTGTACAGTACACTATGTAACCTGTTCAAGCCCTCTTGGGGCTGATTCTGGAACTGATTAAAAAGTGGACAGTCTCAGGAGGATCTGATGGGTTTCCAGTGCTGTGCAAATGATTGCTGTATGTCTGTTAATCTCTGTTGCAAGTGTCAGTAAAAGGCCTGTGCAATGTTGCTGACCACCACCACTTGACAGTAGGCTGTTGTTGTCTGATAGACATTTTCAAAAGGTGGTAGAAATTGGTTTGTAGTTAAGTGTAATGCTTAATATTTCTAGTGGTGAACATTGCCCCTTGTTAAATAAAAATGTGAAAATATTCTACAAGGAGAACATTCAGAAACAGTTGGAGTGGGAAGGAAAGATGACAGGATGCAACAGAAAGCTGCTTCATGCACTAGAGAGTGAAATATAGCCTTTCCCTAAAAATCTGCATGTGTATACCAAACACTTCATGAGCTCCAGTTCTACACCTTCTGGCACTGATTTTCTCATCATTCTTTTTTGTCGATCAGTGTTACAGTTCCTTAGTGTTTTCATTCAAGTACTATAAATATCAATGCTGCATTTCTAGGACAGTAAATTCCCTCTAATTCTCTCTCTCTCTCTCTCCCTTTCTTTTTTTCTCTCTCTCTCTCTCTCTCTCTCTCTCTCACACCCCCCACCTCCTATCATGTGCTCATGTTCCTTCTGTCCCTCTCCCCTCACCTTCTCTCATTTAGAGAGGACAGACTTATATGTAGGAAATAGAAGCAGGGTCCTAGTGACACAGTGGCTGCTTGATATTGTGTCTGGAAATGGGAGCAACTTGTTGTGTCAGTGTACAAAGGGAGTTCTTGCTCCTGAAGTAGGAAATGGACCATTCCTTAGCCCTAATTTCCCTCATTATTCTGCATACAAGTCATCAAAATATTTAAACACAAAATTGAAAAGAATGGAGTTGAAGGAAAATAAATATATTATGGCAGATATTTCCAAAGGGATATTCCACCACCCATCCTACTCCCTTCCTCTGGCTGGGAAACTAAGTGCACTCCTCACACAAAAAGCACAAGCAATAGGAACAATAGTAGACCAGATAGTCTATTGAGTTGGCTGCACGTTTCAGTATGATCATGGCCAATGTTGGACGTTAACTTTGATTTCCTGAGTGAGCTGACTTGTGATACACTGATTCATGAAAATCAAAAAAACAGTCTATCTCAGCCTTTACATATATTTAATGAAGGAGTCTCCACAGCCCTCCTGGACAGAGAATTCTGAAAAATTGCATCCCATTGCTCGAAGTAATTTTTCCTTATTTGTTGTAATCAGCCCATCCCTTATCCTGAGGTGTGCCCATGTTTTAGAGTCAATGACCAGCAGAAACAATGAGGTTTACCTCTGACCCTTCTAAACTTCAGACAACATAGACCCAATTTACTCAGCCTGTCATCACATTGCAGCCCTCTCATCCCACTAATCCATTGAACCTTTGCTTTACCATCTTAAATGCAAGTCTGTACTCACTTAAATATGAGACCAAAACTATGCACTGTATTCCAGATATTGTCTCTCAAAAGCCCCATAATACCGTAATACATAATACAATAATCAAAATGCTTTGGACACTGGAAATCTGAAGTAAAAACTGAAAGCACTGCCGAAGCGTAACAGGACTGGCAGTATCTCTAGATTCAAGTCCAGTATGACTCTTCTCCAGAACTGGAAGGGGACTAGAAAATGGTGCATTTTTATGCTGTAGATAGAGGTAGGAAGAGCAAGGAGTTCAGAGCAGAAGATAACGGCGATAAAGGGAAGATAGAAGTGTAAAATTGATGTAAATGTTAGCTGTGAAAAGGAGAAAATGTGTCATTATGCTGACAGCTAAGCCAGCAGTTATACAATTGTAATGAGACTTCTTTATTCTTGATTGCCAGTCCCTTGCATACGAGGTTAACATGTCACTTTCTGTATTTGTAACTATTATTTGTACGAGCACATCCAAATCGCTTTGAACATGAACAAGTTTCACAACACCTTTGAAAAAGGTTTTTCTTACCTTCACCAAGGTGAATAACCTACCCATCCACTTAACCTGTTTATACCTTTATGCAACGTCTGTTTCTAACCCACAGCTTATCATCCCTTTAACTTTGTACCATCAGCAGACTTGCATGCATTACTCTCTGTCTCTTCATCTAAATCATTAACATTGATTGTAAATAACTGAGGTCCTAAAATTGATCCTTGTGGAATACTACTAGTCATAGCCTACCTATATGAATTTGCCCATTTATGTCTATTCCTTGCATCCCGTGCACTAACTAATCCTTATCCATACTAATGTATTACCCCGGATGCCATGAGTTTTATCTTGCACCCAACCTTTTGGTGTGCAGCTTATCAAATGCCTTTTGGAAATCCAGCTATACTACATCTTCCGATTTCCTTTTATTAAATCTTCAAGAAAAATTCTGAATAAATTTGTTCGTCTTGACAAGGTTGATGTGGAAATGATGTTTCCTCTTGTGGATAAGCCCAGACTAGGGGCCTCTATTTTAAGACAGAGAGGAGAATATTTTTCTCTGACTTTGTGCGACTTTGAAACTCTTTGCCTTAAGGTGGTAAAGTGGTGTCATTGAATATTTTTAAAGACAGAGTAGATTCTTGTTCAACAAGGGAATCTTAAAGGTTATTGGGGTTAGATAGGAAGATGGAATTTGGAGCATAAAAAGATTAGCCATGATTTTATTGAATCATGGAGCAGGCTTGAAGGGCCAAATCACCTGCTCCTGCTCCTAATTCATATGTTTGTATTTATTGTTAAGACTTCCTTAGAAATAGATTCCACAACTTCTCAAAAACTGATGTTAGGCTAATTTGCCTGTAATTCCTTGTTTTCTCCCTCCCTCCTGAGAATCAGTGTTACATTTGCCAATTTCCAATCTGCTGGGACTGTTCCCAAAACTAAGGAATTTTGGAAAATCATACCAAACATACTCATTGTCTCTGCAGTTCTTTCTTTTAGAACCCTGGGATGTACACCATTCGACCCTGCTGATTCTTGGATTATAGCCTCTTTAGTTTCCCCGACACACATTTTTGCTGCTAATATTAATAACCTTAATTGTTTCCTGTCTCTTTTTAGCCCCTAACTTCCACTGTATTTCTGATATGCAACTTGTGTCTTCTACTGTGGAGACAGACACAAAATATTTGTTCAATGCCTCTCATTCCCGATCATAATTGATCCTGTCTCTGTTTCTATTGGATCAGCATTTACTTCAGCTGCTGTCTTGCTTTTTATTTACTTATTAAAGTCCTTTTGTTTTTTATATTCCTGGCTAATTTCTAGTCCTTCCATTTTTTTTCCCCTTTTTGATCAACTTTTTGGTGGCTCCTTGCTGGCTTATAAAACATTTCCAGAGTTGCTTCTGTTCTTTTCAGCATCATAAGCCTTCTCTTTTAATCTAATGGTGTTCTTAACTTTCTAGTGATTCATGTCTTTCTTGCTGAGTTTTAATTTTTTCAATGGAATGTATTTTTGTTGAACATTTCGAATTGTTTCTTAAAAGTTTTTCTCACTTTTCATTTATCACCATTTTAGTCTGTTTGCCCAATCAACCTTAGTCAGTTGTCCCTTATACCTTTGTTTAAATTTTAAGAATTTTTTGATTGGATTATTCAATTCCAAACTTAATGTGGAACTTAGTTATATTACGATCACTATTTCCCACTGGATCTTTCACTATGACCTAACTCCATACAACGCTAGATCTAAGATAGCTATGCCCTTCATTCTACAACTTGCCACAGGAAACTGTCACAAAATGTTCTATGAACTCATCTTCCATATATCATTCTTGTCAATTTGTTTGTACCAGTGTATAAGGAGATCAATGTCCTCCACAATTATTAATTGCCTTAGTTACAAGCCCTAATAATTTCTGCTAAGGAGCCTATCAACTGCTCCCTTCTGTGTTTTCTGACTCTTGCTGTTCTAACCCATTCTGATTCTACTTTTAGGATCTTCTGAGGCCAGATCCTTTTATCACTAATATCCTTGTATTATCCTTTACTATTAAGACAACCCTTTTTCTTGCCATCTTGTTTGTCTTTCTGAAGTACTGTGTATCCCAAAATATTTATTCCCCATCCTTGGTCACTGTAAAGCCATGTCTGTGTAATGGCGATTGGATCGAAATAATTTAGCTCTATTTATGCCGATAGTTCATCCATTTTATTGTGGATGATTTGAGCTTTCAGACAAAGAATTTTTAATTTCTTTTTGCTCCTAATCCCCCTGTTGACCTTATTCACTAATGCACAATTAAGGTTAAACTCCCTTCCTGTCCTCTGCTTGTCTTTATCCATATTATATAATAGTCCCTATTACCCCCCAGTTGCAGTCACATTAAGATTTCAAGAAATAGGTAAATAATTTTTATTTCAAGTCACTGAAGTAAAATAAGAGTCATGGGTTTGACATTGCAATTATTACCCTCCCTTACTGCTATTCACTCGACACATCAGATATGCTGGGATAGAAATTAACAGAATCATTTATTATAAATCAGGTCCTGTTGAGGATTACATCATTGCAGCAAACATGAAATGTATCTGAGAGTGTTTGTTAAATAGAATATATGCATGTACTAAGGACACAATATAGTTGAAGAATAGGCATTTCCCTCAAACCACTTGTCCATTTAAAGGCAGGTTAAAAACCCATGGTTCAATCTCCCAGCCTCGCCCATCAATGCCTTTTATAATTACTGCTCCAGTGATTGCCTGGGAAAAATCCAATGCCAAATGCAAGGCAGCAAGATGAAAGTGGAGATCCAAACTAAGCGTGTGTGATACGAATGAAGAGCTGTTATCAGCTTTCCCACTGTAGGGTATTGCTTTTCCATTAAGTGGCCATGGGCAGAATTACTTGTAAACTGACAATAGTACATTCTGCTCTTTGTAAAGAGTACAAGAGTTCTACCTCCCTTTGTTATTCTCATCAGACCATCAACTCTTTAAGTATAGATTATTCAGGAAGATGTATGCGCTTTTTAGAAAAGCTTCCTGTTCTGAAGCACCAAATGTCCTTTCACCTCTTGAGTCTATTGTGTAATCGAAGTGTCTGAAAAGATGGAACTGGTGGAGTCTGAGTCAGTCTTCAGCTGCAGGATTTTGGGGTTTTTGATCTCTGGGAACTCCTCACTAACTGCAAGACGAATCTTTCCGTTCTGGCTGTCCTTTACCGGCTCCAGGAACACCACGTGTTTGCCACTGCTGGCTTTGCGGCTGGTGTCATCGTTGCAAGGTGGGGTGGCGCTCAGAATGGAAGACTGGGCGCTACACTCGTTTGGCAGGGAGGGGTCTTGTGCTGGCCTACACCAGCAGCGGCATGGAGTCAGGTACAAGTACATGAGCACCAGGACCAGACTCACCACACAGCCGAGAAGTGTAGTGAGACCTGTGTTGAAGCCTTCCGCATCATGCTTTTCATAATGCACAGTCACGTTGACTTCTCGGGACTCATTGCGCATCAGCCGCTTGTTGTTTGCCATGCACGTGTATATGCCAGAATGCTCTTTTTGGGCCTTGCGGATCTCCAGACTGCCATTGGAGTAGAGTTTAAATGTCTTATTAAAACTGTTGGTATAAGTGATGAGTTCTCTGTTTGGCGAGATCCACAGGTAGGTTGTCTGTGCGTCCTGCAAGCTAGTGTTGCAGCTAATCATCAGCGACTCCCCAGCCACGCCCCTGAAGCTGCTGTCCACCATATTGATCAGACCATATGGTAAGGTACAGTTTTCAAACATCTTGCGGTGCTTCAGGAAGCGGAGGATGGCCTTGGGCTGTCTAAGGGCCAGACAAGTGTGTTCCTCTCGGAAATCGTGAACAGAATTAAAACCATTGTTCTCCCAGTGCAGGAACATACTGTACAGACTGCAGTCGCATGTGAAAGGGTTGTTGTGCAGGTAGAGGCCGTTTTGAATAGTCTGAGGCAACGCAGTCACCTTGTCAACAGGGATGGAAGAGAGCCTGTTAGATGAGATATCCATTATCTTGAGCTGAGGCAGGCTGCCCTCCTGCAAGGCACTGAACGGGAAATCGGTTAACTGGTTCCAGCTGAGGTATACCTTCTGCATATTGCTGAGCCTGTGCAGGGCTTCACTATCCACACGTACTATCTGGTTGTTGTAAAGCAGCAGCTCCTGCAGGTTGGTCAGCTCCTGGAAGAAATGTTTCTCCACCACGTGCAGCTTGTTGGAGGACAGGTCCAAGTGTGCAAGCTGGGAGGCATTGTGGAAAGCTGCCGTGGAAATGTGGTGGATGCGATTGTGGCCAACTCGGAGTGTGTGTAGGCGGGGTAGCTGAGCCAGCCAGTTATCCTGCAGTCGGTGCAAGTTGTTGTGACTGAGGTCCAGGCTGGTTGCAGTGACAGGTAGTCCGGGAGGCACCAGGGACAGGCTCCGACTGACACAGCTCAACAGGTCTGATGCACAAATACAGACCCTGGGGCACAAATGGAGGCTGTCTCCTGCTCTTTGCGTGAAGGACTCCGATAAGAGCAGTTCTATCACAAGCAACCACAGAATTGGAGTTACCATTCCAGAGATGCACATGGTCTAACCCTGATGCTCCACTCTTGAGACACTGCAGCGAAGTCTGCTGGAGAGTTAAACAGTCACTTTCCCTTCTTAGCAGTCTTAACATTTAACTGGGAACTCTGCATAGTGCAAGTAACCACATACTGCAGGGCTGCTGTCTTTGAACCGAGTTCGGAGCAGGGCGTTTAGTCACGGACTGTGGCTAAGGTAGTGCAAAGGCATAATGTCCCAGAATCAATTCAGACAAGTTACTCCCTGCTGTTCTGCCTTTTAAAAAAAAGTACTTACACCTGAGATTTTCTTGCAGCCCATTTGGTGATTGTCATTCCTTTTAGTAGAGCTGGTGCTGCTAACGATTCAGGACTTCTCATCAGTGCACAATGTTATCAAAGAGTGTTAACCTCTCCCTTTTAACTCGATGCAGATGAATTTACAGAGCACGCAGGTCATCGACACAAAATGAGTGAGTAACGCCTGTCAACCCCTGGTGCCAGTGCTTCAGTCAGTTGTTTCTCTCTGGTCAAATCCTTAAATTGCAGACACACCGTCTCCCAATGCACGGCAACTCATAACTTTTCTGCCGTGAACTAGTAATGCAGCAGAGAGCTGTGTAGCATTGATCTCGCTCAGTGCCTATTTAAACTGGAGTGGATGGGAAGCACGGTGGGTGGGTAGCGTATGCTTGCTGGCGTATCGCTGATTGGCTGTCGGCAGTATGTTCATTGTTTAAGTAGGTTTCTGTTGCAGTGTTGTGCAGCTTCCATTCACCACTAGTGGGTGGATTTGAACTGCCTGAACTGTTCTTTGTTTCTCTCAGGCAATTGCAGAGTCAAAGACAGAATCTAGTTCCGTTGTAGGGGATTGAGGATTTATAGGGGTGGATAGACAAGCCTAGGTCTGATTGTGAGAGTAGTCCAATTGAGTCTAACTGTGTGTGCGATAATACATCCTTGTTGTGAGGATGTTGGGTCAGAGCGACCTAGTTCTTGCTGTAAGAATGTGAGATGGGGGATGGGAGTTAGCTTAGTGTCTAAGAACAGGGATCAGGGAGTTAGTTTGCACAATTGGAACAGAGCGTTGAGACTAACTGTCTCTGTGGCCTGTTCACCACATCAGGTGTGAGTCCCTGAATGAGGTGCTATTCACCATACCTTCTCAGTGTGCTATGCAGATACCCTGGAGAAAAAAAATAGGAAAACAGGCTGTTCTCCAAGAACTGTCAGTGTTGTCCTTTGTCCAGCACCCATACAGTAACAATTCAGGGAAGCATTCACTGAATTCTCAATCACTCTTTATGGGATAGCATTCACTAACTGCGGTTTACCTCAATAGCAGGGTTGAAATTAAAGACTTAATATATTGACCCCTTTCCCCTTAATTCCTCATATTCAAGCTTTCAATTTCTTTCTGTCCTTTAACTTGTTGCTAATACTTTGCATCTCGTGTTCTCATTTAATAGACTAAATAAATGTGTCTACGGTCATGGTGAGGTCTTTAGATTTAAAATTAGTGTAGAATGATTACAGCACAGAAGGAGACCATTCAGCTTGTGTTGATACTGAGTTTTTGTAAGAGAAACTTGCAAGTCACGGAATATGAATTATGTACTTGCCATCTGGTCACCTGGAGTCATAATGTCACTTTCAGCATTTTTTTTATTTCATTGCATCAAATGGCTGCTTGTTCTCCATTTGAAAGATATTGTTTCAGCATGTACAGGTTCCTCTGCAGTATGTGCTCACCAAAGACTCTCCTTATTGTGTCATGCTGTTCTCACTTTGATTAAAGAACCACTGAAAAATGATTGGAACTGTTATTCAGCCAATGCCATGTCTTTGTGTCAGCTGCGGCTGTTGTCTCTTAGTCAGCAGTTCATGGGTTTAATTCTCCGTGCAAAGACTTGAGTGCATAAACCAGACTGCTAGTACTAAAGAGTTCTGCTCTGTCAGAGGAGCCACTGTTCTTTAAGATATATGTTAAAAGTTCCATAAGATTGATTTAAAAAGCCAGGGGAGTTCTCCTTCATGTATTTGCCAAAATAACCCCCTCAAACAGTATCATTAAATCAGATTATCCAGTCATTATTGCCTCATCATTTGTGGGAGCTTTCTGTGTACAAACTGCTGTGATTCCTACATTACAATAGTGACTACAATTCAAAAGTACTTTATTGGCTGTAAAAATACATAACATTTCTATTTGTGCTTTATCCTCTTTGACAGAGCTTTACAATTTTCAGGTGAATTTTGGTTCATAGATTAAGTAAATATTTGTGAGCAATTGCTGTTGAAGTATTTGCATCATTGGTGAAGTATTTTCTGAAATATGAAACTAAGAGTGACTTCCATTTGCCTGTGTGATGCCTGATTAATAATTGGCAAGGTTCTCAATGATATTCTAAAGAGAGAGAGCAATTTGATGGAACTTCAACAAGGCCACACAGGGTAATCAGAAACAAAGGCAGAAATTAAAAACTCAGCAGGTCTGGCATCATTTGTGAAGACGAAGCAGAGTTAACATTTCGGATCCAGTGACCCTTCTAATCACTGAGGGAATTAAAGGTCATGGGAAAAAGGCAGGAAAGTGGAATTGAGGATTATCAGATTAGCTATGATCTCATTGAATTGCAAAGCAGACTCAATGGGCTGAATGGCCTCCTTCTGCTCCTGCATCTTATGGTCTTATAGATAGCTGACTTTGGCACAGGGATGAAAGAGCAGAGAAGAGCACATGCATTCTATGTGTGGTGACTGTTTTACTCACTTCCCAGACAGATCTTGATTTGGCTGTTGGTGAAAGTTTTTGACAATAGTCAACGGGAAGAACATGTTTCCCTGCAAATTAATCATCCTGTAGTTTCATTTGAGGTTTAAATTGATTCCACAACTGAACAGGTCTGAAGAAAAGTCACTGGACCCGAAACATTAACTCTACTTGGTCTCAACAGTTGCTGACCGACTGTCAGTTATTCCAGCAATTTTATGCTTGGTTTCTGATTTCTTTGGGTTTTTTTTTTCATACAGGGTAATTGTTGTCTTTTTATTTTTGCATCTTTCCTGAAGATAGTGGCTTTGTCTGATATTGTATTCAATTCCAGAGAAAACTATACTTGCATACTTCAATTGGATGGCCATTTTTGTGAGAGTCCAGTGCAGAAACCACAGCGTCCAGATATTTATGAACTTCACTATGGGCCCAAGATGATGATTAGGAGGGCTGATTTCCACCCTTGCCCTATCCCTCCACTTCCTAAACCAACACCATTTCCCCCAAGCCTAACCAAAATCCTCACCCCCAAACCCCATTACATTGTTCTGCTGCTAAAACGGAGCCCATCTGAGACTGCAGACCGATGTCAGAGCCTTGTGGTTTGTGGAACTACACTGCTTAACATCTGGATGATTAGAGGAGCCTCGCTGTAGATTTTTGAAAATGTAATAATTCAACTAAATTAAGTGATAATGTCTCTCTGGGAGCAAAAGGTCAAGCAGTGTTTGGGGTGCATTGGCCCACTAAGTTTTATGTTTATAATTTTCAACACATTAAGTCTTTGATTTTGAGAAAACTGAGGAAGGAGGCATTGACCTGACTAATTGAGCCCTTCCACAGAGCCAAAGTTGTTCAAACACAGCCTCCTTATACATGGAAAAAAATGTCTGCGATTGGGAGAAATATTTAATGCAGTAATTTATAATGCCTCAAAGATGGTGGAAGCAAATTCAATCAAAGGGCTGTGTAGAAGAACAGGGGAACGAGGGTAATGAATCTGTGGAATTGCAGAGGGCTTTAGATGCTGACTCATTAAATATATTCAAGGCTGAGATAGATTGTTAATTAGTGAGGGAATTAAAGGTGTTGGGAAAAAGGCAGGAGAGTAAAGTTGAGGATGATCAGATCAGCCATGATCTCATTGAAGAGCAGAGCAGACTCAATAGGCTGAATCGCCAAATGCTCCGATGTTGTTTAGATAGCTGGCATAGATAATAGGATCAGCACAGGGATGAAAGAGCAGTGAAGAGCACATGTATTCTATGTGTGATGACTGCTTTACTGAGTTCCCAAGCATGTTTGATTTGGCTGTTTGTGAAAGTTTCTGACAATAGGTAACAGAAGGAATATGCTTCTCTGCAAATTAATCATCCTGTAGTTTGATTTGAAGTTTATAATTGATTCCACAGCTGTTCTGAATACCTGTGTAAGATTACAATCTGGATGAATGCGTAATTCCTTCACCTTTAATGCTGGTAAAACTGAACTCCCTTCTCGTCTGACCTACTTAACACTATCCATGGCCCCACCAGCTATCTTAGGTTAAGCAAAGGGGTGCTGAGGCATGGTGTTATTCTTGACTGAGCTTCCCTTCCTTACCCCACATCTAATACGTTCATAAGAAAACTTCACTGTCTGCGATGTCATCATCCAGCCTCCACTCCCAGTCTCTTGTTACTCGTCTCTGCAGATGGTGCTTGTTTCACATGGTAAACTGTTCTTTAATGTTGGATCCTTGGGAAGCAGCATACCCACTTGCAGACAATATCCTGTGATTAATACCCACCAATGTAGAGCTCCTACTGTGAAGATTGCAGTTCCTGATGTCTGATCACTTTGTATCACACTTAGCCCCTGAGTTCCATCTGTAAGCAAGACACTGCTTCCCAAGTATGAGCCATGAATAAATGGAATCCTAAAGGAGAAATGGAAATTATCAATTGAAAATATACGTTGGAAAAACTACCATATTTATGAATGTAATCAGGATTGCAATTATTGTCAACTGCATTTCGTCAAATGACAAGCTTAATTTACTTAAAACGATAATTGAATCTAGCCATGTATTTTTGAGGCACTTCCTTTCAGCAGGTGCTGCTTATCTTAACCAGCATAGTGTCTCCTAGCTGCTCCGATTCTGTGTCTGTATCTTTTGTCGTCCGGAAGTTTGAAGCAATCTTGGCCCGTTGCCTGAACGTAGTCCAGATTTATTTATGAAGCACTTGGCGACTAAGCTGTCTGATGCCATTGGCACACTGCAAGCATCACTTGAGACTTGTACTATATTGGGAGCTTGTTTAGAAATCCAAGGTGCCCCTTCCTACATTCCCCTCCCCACCACTGCCACACAAACACCAACACTACCTGCACTACAGTTTCTGACAGCTGTTTGCTTATTGCAGGCAGGTTCTCCCACAATAGCAATGAAGTGAAAGAAATTAATTCAGTTCTCCTCACTGCAGAATCTCAGAAACTTGACAGATGAAAAAACCAGTTGCGTTTATATAACTTCTTTCATGAACTGCGGCATCCCAAAGTGCTTTATTAGCAATGAAATATTTTATGATGTGTCATAACTTTTGTAATGTTGGAAACATGTCAAACTATGGACAGCATGATCCCACAAACAGCAATCTGAAAATGACCACATAATCTGCTTTGAGTATTATTGGTCAGGGGATAAATGTTGACCTAGAAACCAGGGAGAGCTCCCTTCTCCTCTTCAGCATAACACCATAGCACCTTTGCAGTATTGGCTTGAGAGAATAGATGAAGCACTTGTTTAGCATCCCATCCAAAAGTGGACACCTGGGACAGTGCAGAATGCCCTCGGCAGTCCACTGGAGTG